GTAAAGTCCTATCTGCACACGCTCGGAATTCAAATGGACGTTCAGAGCACAGTGAGTCACGTTTGGCTTTCTTGCTGCGGAACCCAAGACGCTTCATGCTGACCAGCGCGCTTGGATTTTTTGCGAATGCCGTCCGTCACCCACCTGGTATACACCACCAGCGCAACGCTTGCAGCACGTACAATCTGCTCTCCGAAGAGGGCAGGAGGGTAGCAGCTGCGCTCATCCCACCCAAAAGGCTGCCTACCAAACGCGTACCCAACGATCAAAAAGCATGACCTACGTGAGCGCATACGTGAGCCCAGCGAATGATCCTACCTCGCCCTTGTTGCTGCAACGCCAGCCATACAGCGAGAATGCATCGATCATGCACGTCGTGCGGTTGCAAAGTGTCTTTTATTGCGTGAGCTCAACCCTGGCATCGTGATCGCCAGGCGTGGCGTGATGGTCCCCATCTACGCCCTGACCATTCGAGAGCATCGCGGTCTCTCTACCCGGCTGCGATGCTACGCTGCTTGCCTGTCCATTCGGCGCGCCCGCGGTCGCGGGCGCACCATCGCTTCTTTCGCTTGACCCGAGTCCCATCTCCAACCTGCTATTCTCCACCCTCTTTCTGAACACTTCCCGTGCGAACAGGTGCATCCAAGTCTGTTCCACCTGACTCGGCTCTCGTATCAAAAAGGCCCCCTTGGGCCGAGGAGGTGCGCCCGCTTTGGCAGCTTCTTGCGCTGCTTGTTGCAAGGTCTGAGCAGAGGGTCTCTGCGAGGGACGCAGAGGTTCAAGACTTGCGCGAGACGTGTCGTCGGGGTAAGCGTGGGGAGAGAGGGGCCGCGTGTAGCGTATTGCTTTGCGATTTCCGCGACAGCTCACCTAGCAGCCACGCCCCTTTGCGATTCTCCTCGCGTCACCTCGGCCAGCTGAGCCAACCTGACCATGACGCTGTCCAACTCTTGCAGATCCCTCTGCGTCTCCTCGTTCGTCCTCTTGCCGTACCGGGGAATGTTGGAGGGAATGATGCCCAGCTTGGGAATGAGAGGCGCGATCTGCTTGCTCGCGAGCATCACGGACAGAAAGAGCTCGTGCATGAACGACACCACCTCGGCTTGCGTGGTGTTGGGCAAGAGGCGCACGAGGAGCGCAGGTCGTTCGGGCAAGGCGCACAGGTAGAGCTCAGAGGAAGCCATGAGCATGAAAAGCGTCGCTCTCCACTGTTCGAGAGCGGGCGCGTCAGCACGAGTTGCGTGTATGCGTAGAAAGAGACTCGCAAAGCGTCAGCACGAGTGGCGTGTATGCGTAGAAAGAGACTCGCGCAAAGACTCACAAAGTCGATGAAACCGTCGCCATTGAGCCAATTGATGAAGCTCAGAATGGCGGGCTGGAGGACGTAGTAGGGCAAAGCCTCCTGAAAACCTTGTCCCATGTGCTCCCTGACAGTGTACAGCTTCTCCCAAGCGATCACGCTCGGTCCGAACCTTGTTAAAAAAGGGGGGGGGGAGCGTGGCGCGCACCTCGCATCAGCATTCGCATACCCCCAACACCTCACCACCGCGCTTTCGCCGCATGCGCCGCTCGCATTCTCGGTACGCTTCTGCTCACTCACCGATCGTAGGCATATCGCTTGGTCGGATCGCCAATGACGTCGGCAGCTGTTCTAGCAGCGATGAAGAAGGCCTCACCTCTAGGACCTACCTTGTCCGGATGATAGATCCTAGCCAGCTTTCTAAAAGCTCTCGGCACGTGTTCCGTCTCCACATCCAGCGGCAGACCGAGGGTGGTGTAAAAGTTGGGCGATGCACCCACGAGGGCTTGGTGGAGCGTGTAGAAGAGGTAGGCGCTCACTACCAGGACGCGAGCTCTGTTGAAATGCAGCGCGACGTCGGATTGCGTCGTGGGACGAAGGGAGGGCGAAATGGTGTAGAAGGCGTGCAGGGCGAGTTGCGTACCGATGCCTGGCAAGGTGCTCCAATAGACGAAGGGCAACAGGGCCGATAGCACTGGATACTTGTCCAGAACGTCCAGCATGATGCTTGGTTGGAGATGCTGATCACCTCCTGCAGACACGTGAGGTGGGTGGTGCTAGATGGCGCTTCTTCACCACTCGCAGCCCAGCCGGCACACAGCTGCGAATGTGCTGTATAGCGGCCGGCGCGATCGATCCGCAATCAATCAGAAGAGCGTGATATGCGCCTGGTGCTTGGACATTCGAGGTCTCCTCGCTCACGCGCACGCGCACGCGCACGATCAGAGCTTGCCCAGCACCGCTCGATCGATCGATCGATGGTCGGCTTGCGTCGTACGTGGAACGTCGTATCAAGACACCCGTGACGCGCAATCGTTGCGAGAAGCGCCGGAACGCCGGAAGGTGTGTCGTTTGCGTGGACAGCAGCAGCAGCGACGTTCAGGGCGCGATGGTCATGTGAGATGATGCTGCAGTCAGAGTCGCGAGCGGCGAGGAGCCGGATCAGAAGTGACGAGTGAGCGATCGATCATTCACACCTTGACGCGTCGGCGTCGCGTTTCAGCATCATCAACAGCGACCATGCAGCGAGATGCGATCGATGCACGCGCCAGTGCCCACGCCACGCACTCACTCACACTCACGACTTCTCCAAATCGCATGCGCCCCGAGCGCCCGCGCGCCCACGGGTTCATGCGCGCCCGCATGCGCGCCCACACGTGCATCGCTTTCGAAGTTGTTTGTTTCATCAAGACACGCGCGTACGCGTTTTTTGTAGTCGTCCACAAATCCTGAATCTTTTTCACGACACACCGGTAAGCTTGCTCCCCTTTGGCACGTTGAGCATGGGCACGGCAGCATCTGGCTTGATTCCAGACCATGATCGATGACAATCAAGCCACACACGCCAGTCGGCGTATCCGCACGCGATAGGGCGCAACCGTTGTGCCTGCCAAGATCGAGCTACGTTCGCTGATCCGTCCATCACCTTGGACCACACATGAACTTCGTGCAACAGCGCTGGCTATCATGCAGGCTTGTGATTTGATACTCTCCCATCGCGATTCGTGATTCGTGACTCTTTCGCTGATGGATGTGACCATCATGCGCAAGACGGCGTCGAAGCTGCGGGACCCGCCCAAGTCTCACGACTCAACATAGCTGGCCGGGACCATGTGATAGACTCTAATTGACGTCCACCGCGCCATGAAGCTTGTTGCAGACATATCGAGCCTATTGCCACAGCCACCCGAGTGAGCACTCGAGTGGTGCGAGCCGTGAGTCCCGGCAGACACTCACTTGCACGCTTTTGAAGGAGTCGCACGTGTGGCGGGCAGTGCGCTGCTGCTGGCTTCATCAGCTAGGTGCGAATCTGAATTTCGAATGATCAGCAGTGCAGCAGGTGATATGCATGCGTGTGCACCAAGTCACCATGCAGTCAGTCACCAGTGTCGAGGCGTGGGCATGCACGGCTGCCAGCTCCCGAACATGCGCTGATGTTGCTGATGTGCGTGCGGCGTGATGTGCGTAGAACTTTCAGAGCAGTCAAGTATGTTTTTCGTGTCGCAAGCGCCGGTTGCATGCACGGCCTGCGCTCGTCTCACGCGCCTTGCCCTCCGCGCATGCATGCATGCATGCATGCATATGCATGTTGCTGCATGGCACACGCACACCTCGAACTGCTAGCCCATGCACCCGCGTCGCCGCTCTTTCAGAACACCACCATGCATCACCGCACAGCCAACCGTTGCTCATATCGTCCATGCAGCAGCCATAGGCAGCAATCATTCGATCATTCGCGCGCATCTGCATGCCAACCAACCGTCGTGCTCCGCTGCCGTGCCAGCAGCAAACCAAACCAAACGAGCCGCGCGCGCGCGCCCGGCCGCCCCAGCTATTGCGCCAGCAGTGCACACGCGCGCTTGCATGTTCACCGGCGCGACCTTCCTTCGCGCGCATGACACCGCATCCACACTCAGCACGACTCCGCGCGCGCGAACTGCTGAGCGATTCCCCTGACCTGGAAACGTCGGTCGAGCCTTTGCCTCTCCTCGCGAGTCTAACCCGACCGATCCAGCACTCACCTCGACCAATCTCCCGTCATTCAGCCCACAACCTTCGCATAAACGCTTTGCTTGCTCGCTCGCTCGCTCGATCCTCGTCGCCGAAGACGACAGTTCTGCAACAGCGAAAGTCTCTTGCAATTCGTCATCGCGGACAGCCTCACACCTCGACTGCCCCCTTGTCGCAAACCTTTCAAAAGCAGAGCATCGGAACGGCGCATCCGCTTGCCCATCTACCTCCTCGCTGCTGCTGCTCCGCACCGCCACATACCCTCGTCCCCGATCCGCCCTCCGCCTTGCAAATCTCAAAACACCTTGACGGTGCACCACCAACACTCCTCTCCCCCCACACGATTACAATCTCTGCCGCCCGGAGCGACAGATCAACGCAAAGGACCTTTCCCCGTTCCCAGCCGGTGATTCAGCCCTAACCCATCACTTAATTGTCTTTCCTATCACTACAACATCTCCGATACAACATGGCGCGTGATAGACTAGCAGCTATGCGAGTGAGTGACCGAGCAGCACATCAGGCTTGACGTCGCACGGGCGGTGGCTGTTGCGCAACATGGTGTATGCGCTCGATTGGTGTAGGATCACGAGCATCTCTGGTGTCATTACGGTCGCGTGCTCGGCATGGCATCGAACCGCGGCCAAATGTGGCTCTTCCTATCGCGATGCTCACACTCTGCATCCGCTCTTGACGCAGGCTCAGCAGGGAGCTGGAGGCGCTGGTTACGGAGGCTACGGCGGCCAACAGCAAGGAGCTGGTAACAATGGCTACGGGTGAGCATCGCCAAATCAAAAGGCGCGCGCCCGGGACCGTCTGCTTATCATCTTTCTCGCCACGCTCCAAACCACCATTAGCGACCACTCATACCCGCAACAGAGCGGCGGCGGAGGCTACGGCCAGCAGAACTACAGTCAAGGTGGTTACGGTCAGCAGCAGGGCTATGGCCAGCAGCAAGGCTACGGAGCAGGTGGATACGGCCAGCAGCAACAACAACCTGCTTACGCTCCTCCGGCGCAGAACGACGCATACGAGATGCAGGGCATTGGTCAGCAGGGTGGTGGCTACGCACAGCCACCCGTAGTGGGACCATCGGACACGAATCAATTCTTTGCAGAGATTGACGATGTGCGCGATACGATGAGGCAAGTGGAGAACAATGTCGCACGGATCGCCGACCTGCACTCGAGGAGCCTCAACAACATGGATGAACAATCTTCTCAGCAAGCCAAAGCGCAATTGGACCAGTTGACGCAAGAGACTAGCAGATTGACGAATGCCGTCAAGAACCGCATCCGCAACCTTGACGCTCAGACTGCCAAGCTGCCGGAGAGCGGAGAAAAGAATGTGCGCAAAACCCAAGTGGGCGTGCAAAAGGGCGCATTCAAGGAGCTCATTCAGCGTTACGTCCAGGTGGAGAATGACTACAAGAAAAAGACGCGCGCGAGAGCAGAGCGCCAGTACAGGATCGTCAAGCCGGACGCCTCTCCCGAAGAGGTGCGAGCAGCGGTAGAGGATGAGTCGGGCGGACAAATCTTTTCGCAAGCTCTGCTCAACTCGAATCGACATGGCGAGGCTCGCGGAGCTCTGCGCGAGGTTCAAGCCAGACACGACGAGATTCTCAAGATTGAGAGGACGATTACAGAGTTGGCGCAGCTGTTCAACGAGATTGACACGCTGATCACGGAGCAAGGAGAGCAGATCAACCAGATCGAGCAGTCTGCCATGACGACGGAGATGGACATGAAGCAAGGAACGGAGCAGACTGGCAAAGCCGTCGTGTCTGCGAGAAAAGCTAGGAGAAAGAGAATCATTTGCTTCTGGATCATCGTCGTCATCATCATTGTGCTGGCCATCGTCATCTTCATTGGCGTGTGCTTTTCTGGCGGAGAGTGGAAATGCCCACGCTCTGATCCCGCCCCCGCGCAGAACAGGCGTCGCCATATCATGCCCCTCATCAGCACGGAGCACCTCGACGTGTGGGAAATGCGACGCATGGCCACTGCTTTTGGAGTGGAATTCCATTGAGGAGGCGCGACGCAGCGCGACGCGACGCGAGAGCGCACTCTTCGCTTCGGTGCTTCCACGCTCATCGGAGCTCGTACATAGCCCCCCCTCCCTCTTCTTTCTTTGCTACTCTCCCTTTTCCATCTGCCCTCCGCTCGTCAGAGCGGCAATCGCTACGCCGGGCGGTCGATCATCACACTTTGCCCCCTTTGTCTCGTCCGGCCGTGATGCTCGGGACCTTGTGCGCCAGCGAGCCGACCAGATCAGCCGGGAGCCCACGCGTGTGACATCTCTTTATCCCACCCCATTACTACTTGCTTTTTCACACACACGTCAAATGCTATTCATCGAAAAGGTCCTCACATTGTGCGTGTTCGTGTTGCTCTCGCGCCGCTTGCTGTTGCTGTTGCAGTCGTTGACTGCACGTCGAAGAGTTGTGATGCGAAGAAGCAGCCGCCACGTGGCCGGGCTGGCCGCTTTCACTGCTCCCACCGCCCACCGCCCACGGCCCACGGCCCATCGCCCACACCCTGCGCCCTGCGCACGCGCGAGTCACGCGCTCGATTTTGGGCGCTGGTGCATTTACATTCACGATTTCAGCCATGCAAGTCGGTCAAGAAGACACACAATCAAAGGAACAGCAAGTCGAGAGTTGTGAGGACCAAGACTCTCCCCTCTTTCGGCACTCGCACTCGTGACTCACGACTCTGTTCAGCAAGCTCGGCATTTAGCATCGGCATCGGCGTTGGTACTCTGACTGTGCAGCTGTTACCTACATCCATCTGTGCCACACGGTACCCGAGACCAGCACACAGCTCGGCGTGCACCCTTTGCCTACGCAGGCCTACCCCCCCTTGTATGCTAGCACTTCGCTCCCCAGCTCCATTCGCTTCTCTTGCCCGACCGCTCATCGCTGCATCATCGCCCCCTCATCAGACTCGCAAGTTCGTGCGCATACAGGCGTCCTGCAGTTCCATCTACTCGAGATCATTCACGTCGACTGTCAGGATGTCGGAACCTGTAGCTGATGCTGCTGCTGCTGCTGCAAAGCTGCTCAAGGATGAGGTGACTGGGGATATGGTCACCAAGAAGTGAGTTGCGGTCCTCGCGGATGACGTGGTTGGCAGCTGCAAGCACTGCTGACGTTGCTTGCCTGTTCACGACGCACGCTCCCTCTCCCCGCGCATCGCCAGCGAGCTGAAGCGACGACAGAAGCAGCGAGAAAAGGAGGCCAGCAAAGCGGCCAAGGCTGCAGCTGCGCCGGCTCAGCAGCAGCAGCAGCAGCAGGGAGGATCCGGTAGCAAGGCGAAGAAGGAGGAAGAAGAGGAATTGACTCCCAACCAATTCTACGAGAGGCGTTCCAGGCAGATTCTCGCGCTGAGACAGTCCAAGCAGCCGGATCCTTATCCTCACAAGTTTCACGTCTCTTCCTCCATCGCCGACTTTATCGAGAGGTATGCGGACAAGACGCAAAAGGGTCAACACATTGAGGATGTGCAGGTCAGCTTGGCTGGTAGGATCCACAATATGAGATCGGGAAGCAGCAAGCTGCGCTTCTACGATTTGCACGGGGAAGGCGTGCAAGTGCAGATCACTGCTCAAATCCAGTGCGTCGAGGCTTTGTGCAAGACTGTGCGCGCGCGCGCGCGACTGACACCCGCTCGCCGCTTTTGCAGATACCACAAGGAGGGCGAAGAGGCCTTCTTTGCCGCTCACGATCTGCTCAAGCGTGGAGATATCGTCGGAGTCAAGGGTTTCCCGGGCAAGACAAAGACTGGCGAGCTGTCCATCTTTCCCACAGAGATCCAACTCTTGGCGCCGAACCTGCGCATGCTGCCCAAAGCGCCCGCAGGCTCGTCCGGTCGAGGTGGTTTCACGGACCAGGAACAGAGGTACCGCAAGCGCTATTTGGATCTGATCATGAACCCTCACGTTAGGGATATCTTTGTGAAGCGCGCCAAGATCATCAACTACGTCCGAAGGTTCTTGGACAATTTGGGCTTCTTGGAAGTCGAGACTCCCATGATGAACATGATTGCTGGCGGTGCCACGGCCAAGCCTTTCGTGACGCACCACAACGACCTCAAGCTGGACCTGTTCATGCGCGTTGCGCCCGAATTGTACCTCAAGGAGCTCGTCGTTGGTGGATTGGACAGAGTGTACGAGATTGGTAGGGTGTTTAGAAACGAATCCATCGATCAGACTCACAATCCCGAGTTCTCCATCTGCGAATTTTACATGGCCTATGCGGACATGCACGACATTATGGATTTGACGGAAAGCATGATCAGCGGCTTGGTCAAGTCTGTGACGGGAGGTTACAAGATCAAGTATCATCCCGATGGCAAGGACGTGGAAGGCGGACGCGAGTTCGAGATCGATTTCTCTACGCCCTGGAAGAGGTTCGACATGATCAAGGAGCTAGAGTCTCAGCTCAACGTGACCTTTCCACCTGCCAATGTGCTCCACACGGAGGAGAACCGCAAGTGGCTGAGCGATCTGGCAGCCAAGCACAATGTGGACTGCAGCGAGCCCCGCACTTCTGCGCGGCTGATCGACAAGCTCGTGGGAGAGTTCATCGAGGTCAAGTGCGTCAATCCTAGCTTTATTGTGGGACACCCGCAAGTCATGAGCCCCCTGGCCAAGCGTCACAGAGACATAGAGGGCTTGTGCGAGCGCTTCGAAGTCTTTGTCGCGACCAAGGAAATTTGCAACGCTTATACCGAGCTGTGAGTGTCGGGCGCGCGCATTCAAAATCCCGCCCTAGCGCACCTCCCCATCTGACGACGTATTCTTTCGATCACTTTCGTTTTTTCTTTCCTCAGGAACGATCCCTTTGATCAGAGGGAGCGCTTCGAAGAGCAGACGAGACAAAAAGATGCGGGCGATGACGAAGCTCAGGGCATCGACCACGTCTTTGTCGATGCGCTCGAGCATGGTCTGCCTCCGACCGGTGGCTGGGGAATGGGAATCGATAGGCTGGTCATGTTCTTGACGGACTCCAACTCCATCAAGGAGGTCCTCGTGAGTGTCGAGCGCTTGGGTTGGTGGAGCGAGAACAAAGGTGCTGACCTTTGTGGGCGCGCTTCTTCACAGGCCTTCCCTGCGAACAAGCCTTTGCCACAGCAAGGCAGCGCGGACGTTGCCTCTGCTCAACCTGACACGGCCGAGGGTGCACCAGCAGCACAGCCGGGCATCTAGATGTGGCAACCAGAGGGGGGACGGACAACGCCTTTTGTGCAGAATGGCCAGCGAATTGTCAAAGCTTTTTAATGTGCGACGTGTGGCGTCGTGCAACAGGGCTGCGGCCAATCACGAATGTGTGCGAGCATCATTTTGGGATTGATTGATCGATGCCTTGCGCGCGCGCAGCGAGCGCTCCAATGTCTGAAACTTTTTGCTATTTAGCGCAAGAGGCGCTCGCGCGCGCGCGGGCGTGAGGCGCAAACTCACGATCGAGTGAGTGCTCGGCGCGCGACCTTGGTTCGGGAGGCGCGATCCCGGATGAGCGAGCAGGCGCCGCCCGCCATTGATGCGACTTGCATGGATGGGATGGGCATGTGCATGATCGAGCAGCCCGGCGCGGGCGCGGGCGCGGGCGCGGGCGCAGGCGGAGGAAGAATCAAGCCACAGCAGCTTGAAGCGAGCGAGCGGATGCTGCGGCCCGAGCCTTTGAACATGGCGAAATTGTAGGAGCCATGCCCATCATAATTGCCAATGTAGCTTCGACATGCATTTGTCCACACCTCAAACTCGCGACAACATTCGCGACTTGTGTGGTCGCGCGCGCACCGTGCATGCGATAGGGGCGCACGCGTCCGAAATGGAGGTCAGCAAGGGAAACAGTACCGTACCTATTTGACGGGCAGACTGACAATCACGACTGCGAGCGAGCATATGTGCGGCTTCATCAAAGCATTGACCTTGCGCGACGACGCTAATGTTACGCTCGGTCCATCCTGTGCACTAAGGACTGCCTGTGCTCCTTCATATCGACCGTCGCGCGTAGAGTCCTCATACCCTGGGCACGCGCGCAAGCCGCGAGTTGCAAGATGAGCGCGACTTGCTGCTCATGTCTCGTTGCTCTCTGTACACTGCGGTGTCGATGCGCCTTGATGATAAGAATGATCCACAATCATAGAAGTGGACAGAGGATTGCTCAAACACGCTCAAGACGACATCCCCGCCACCCTCCCGCGAATCTAAGCACGAGGAGTACGTCTATTCTCTGTCATGATCTGGTCCACTTGCCTCCGAGAGCGAGCAGTGCCGGCTGGAGCGACAACAGCACCGCAGTCGCCGGCACCATGCAAGCGGGATGAGAAAGTGCCGTCTTTCTGCATACCTTTCCGCTTCGGTCGATCACAGATCGTCAAAGCCAACCCAGAGGACATTGCACCGCTGCCCCATGGCGATGACGGCGCCGAAAGTCCATGCGGACAGCCAGGCGTGCTCAACTCGATCAAGTGCTGGTTGGGCTGGGGCAAAAAGCCATGGCCGCTTCCTCCGGACGATGTTTTCTACGGGATCAAGCTGACGCCAGACGATCTGAAAGACTACGAGCTTGGACAAGTGGTCAAGTGGCGCGAAATCTTCCTCACGCCATTCTTTGGTCTGGATGCTGATCGCTTAAAGGCCTGGCAGCTGCTCTTCGTCACCACGGGTGGTCCCAAAGCTAGCCCTTACAAGCAAGTCACGGTCACCACCATCATCGTCCCGCCCAATAGCAAGGGCGACAGAGTGATTGCCTACCAGCGTGAGCGTGCGACGCGCGCGCTTGCTCTCAAAAGAACGCCTAACACTCTTCCCCCCGCCCCCGCCCCTCGCAGCCAAGACAAATTCTGCCAGCTCGCTTTGGCGTACCTCGTACGCTCTACGTGCCGGTGGCAGCCAATCCAGCAACTCAATGTCCGAGCTGGTATTTTTAGGACCCATGCTCGATCGTGGCTGGATCTGCGCGGTTTCGGATTACCTGGTGCGTGCCGACCGACCGACCGACGACTGTCGAGCAAGTTGATTATCCATTGACCTTTGCTGCCGTGCACACTTCCTGCTCGAATCTACGATGTGCCTGCCTAAACCACCAGGGCCAGAACGACGCTTTTGGCGCGGGCCTGCAGTCCGGACACGCAGTATTGGACGGCATTCGAGCAGTGATGGAGTTTTCCCAGTTGAAACTAGATCGAGTCAATCTGCGCGTGGTGGGTTACGGCTATAGCGGAGGTGCGATAGCGACGGGCTTCGCTGCGCAGCTAGCTCGGAGTTACGCTCCCGATGTCGAAGCCAAGATGCAAGGCTGGTGCCTGGGTGGACTGCCGGTCGATCTGAAACAGATCGCCATGCATGTCAACAACACGCTCGTGGCTGGTGTCATTGTTGGCGTTGTGCAGGGTCTGGTAGGTGAAAGAGCACGAGGCTTGTAGAGTCAGGCAACTTTCTGCTGACCATGCCGAGAGCTTGTAGGCCAACACCTATCCGCAGCTCCAGCAGTATCTCGCCGATAGCCTGACCAGTGCAGCGAGCAACTTTTTCTCTCAAGCAAAATTGACCGGCTTTTGGTCCGTCGTTCGAGCTTCAGCAGGCGCAGATATCCTCGGCCTCATCTCGGGCAACACAAGCAGCGATCCGAGCTATTTCAAGCCGACTTTTGATCTCATGACCGACAAAGTGCCAGCCATGGTGATGGAGGAGAACCGCATGGGGGCTGATCCAAAACAGGTGCCGCGCAAGCCGCTGCTCATAGCTTGCAGCCTTCACGATGAGATTGTGCCCATCAAGGCTCCAGACGAGCTTGTAGAGAGATGGGGTAAAGGTGGTGAGCAGGTGATCCACTGCAGAGCCCCAATAGATTTTCTGACGCGTGTGTGTGTGTCCCACAGGCGCGACTATCGAGTACATTCGGGACCAGCTGTCTGCGCATGTAGGTAGAATGTCGCATTGCAAGAGAAGCCTACACGTGCGCCCCACTTGACGCGGGATAGCATCCCTCCCCACAGGCTTTGCTTTCGTTCACATCCTATTCTGCCTGTGTGCGATGGATGGGAGAACGGCTGGAAGGCAAAGCGAACGAGGCAAAAGCAGGCAAGCCTTGGATCCGTAATCTGACCACAACGCTGACGGATGATGGGGACGAAGAGCTGCGTGAGTGAGGGAGTTGAAGAGAGCGTAGTAAAGCGAGCGTAGGGGATCAGTGTTCAGTAGGACTCACTTGCTAGCACCCACTCACGCACAACAGTCGGCAAGCGTCGTTACGATGACCTCAAGAACACCTGCGAGAGACGTCAAAGGGAGAACTTTTGGTGTTGATTTGCAAAAAGTTCATGCCTCGCGCATCGATGGAAATCATTCCGCGTCGCACAACGTGGCCCATCTTTCAGAGTTTCACGGCGAGAGAGCGCCAGAGGTCTTTATGAGAGCGAGCAGCTCGCTTCGCTCTCCCAGCGCATAGGTCAAGGTGCGTTTCCTGAAATCTACCCCGAGCGTCAGAAGATCAATGACGTCGTCGAGCAGGTGCGCTTGCCCAACTATGGATCCCGGGTGTGATGTGTGGTCAGCTGAGAGGATGTGAATGTGAAGGTGGCTAGGGCAAAAAAGGTAACGCTATATCAGATCCCGCTGATGAAAAAAGCGGGCCCACGTGCGCTCGTCGGCTCACTAGTATGTGGGTTGGTAGTGCAGAAAGCACCTGATACCCGAAGCGCCCTGCTTGTCGAGTCCGTATGTGCCTCTTGCGGCTATAGCTGCGGCCGATTGTACCTTGCGCAATAAGAGGGCATGTGCAGGAGTCTCTTTTTCCGGTCGGAGGTCTCGAAGGCTGCGCAAGGACCGGTCGTGCGCGATCGCAACCAAGTAAAGGGAAGATGTCGTTTTGCGGTCCCACTTGAGATCCGGCAAGAGCTGAGTGCGACGCAAGGTAGCGAGGGCTTTTCAGCAGGGCTGTAGGAAGGTGTAGCAAATGTGGCCCAATATTGTTACCCACCACGAAGCCTGTCTCGCGGTCCGGATCCTCGTAGATGATGGAATCTGCCTCTTTCTTCTTGTCGAGGATGTTGTACACCCTTGGCCAGGTAGGGTCGTCAGGCTGGCAAGGAGCACCAAGGGTCGCACCCCATTCTCACCATTGTATTCTCGACGATGGCTGACTGAGTATGAATGGCAAGACGATCTTTTCGTACAATTCGGGCGTCTCTGACACGGCGAACGGGTATATCTCGGTGAGCGGAGGGGGAATGCAGAAAAATGGAGGGGCGTACGTGCCTCACCGTTGATCATGAAGCGGCTCTGGACGCTATACTTGGCTACATGCTGACGGGGTAGCAATGCGTTCAGCGAGCGCTGCATACAAGCCCAAAGGCGCACAAGGACCTACCGTTTCGGACGCCGGGTGTATCAACGTCATCTTAAAGTCTGCCGGACCCGGACCCGCCGGTGCGGATGCCTGCGCGTTGTTAGAGCTGTTGGATGCACTCGCTTCTGCATCGTGCAAGCTCCTCCAGCCCAACAGCCAGCGATACACGTCGTTCTGGCCAATGTCTCTCAACTGAGAGAAGAGACGCTCAGTTCCAACCTCTTGGAAGAAGCTCGGCTCAAAGTGCGTCTTTTCCAGCAGCAAGATGGCTGCGCGATCGCCCAGTCTACCTAGCAAGGAAGCGGTCCTAGAGCGCGGGTCTGCGCAGGGAATGCGCAGAGGAGAGAGAGATCAGCCAGTGCTAGGAGGGGGAGCAGGAGCCAGACCCCCACTTGCCTTGATCCAACACCTTTTCCAGCACGAAGCCCTTGAGGGCGTCATCAGACGCGTTGCCCTCTATTACAACAGACATTCTTGCGGCGTGAGGAAATAAATGCAGCGTGAATGCGGTGGAGAAGAAGCTTGTCCCGTACACCAGGACCAGCAAACTCTTGAATCGAGCGTCGTGATTCTGTATCAATCATCACGAATAATCAAAGAATCAAGAATTGCATAGTCCTCCATCACGTCGATACACGCGCAGCCAAGGCGACGGTCCCGCGCCGCGGTATGCACGATTCGAAATCAAGCATAATGATGAGTACGTGACGTGACTCAAGAATATAAATCCGAGGTTATCTTGAGCTTGAATGCGGCTGACGAGCTATATTATATAGCGCCGGACCGCCAGCCTGCATGCGTGCGTGCGGCACCTGGCGCGCCTTGCATTTAAATAATGCGGGGACCTGTACCGGCCGGTACTGTATTCAAGACTCTTGACTCCGCCATTTCAAATTCTTGGTTCTTGATTGCATGCGCGCACGGACGGACGGGACGCGAATCAAGAGCTGCGCCAAGTGAGGCGTGATTCTCAAGAATGTGAATGTGAATGAACGCTCGCCTCGCCCGACACGCACTCACGCACTCACAACGCTTCTCGATTCTCAACTCACAATTGTAATTGCAATTGCGGATCTCTGTATGTGATATACCGGTACATACATCGATTGGTCCTGCGCCGCGCCGACAGCAAGGCCCCTCTTCATGCACTTGACTGTAGCGGCCGGCGCATTCGTGATTGCCGCTGTACCTACACGGCGCAAGACTTTGACCCCAGCAGCCAGCCAGCCAGCCAGCCAGCCAGCCAGCCAGCCAGGCGAACCGCGTATTGGTGTGCTCCTCGATCACGCCTCCGCCAGCAATCCACACGCAAGCCGCGCAAGCCGCGCAACCCACGCCGCGACGCACATCCTCTCGCAAGTGTGAAGCAGAGCGATGGCCGACTCGACGCGTCACATCGGTCTGCCGTTCAGCGTGCCCTCTGTCGATACGACAGTGTCCCACAGGCGAGCATCCACTTCCACAGCATCATCTCAAGACGATTCCGATCCCCTGTACAATCGCAGTCGCAGTCGCCCTGGAACGAGGAGCACCGCTGCGATCAAGATGAGGGGCGATGATGCGCAGCGTCGAGATCAAGAGGCAGGAGAATCGGATGACGATGCGACGCTGCACAGCATCAGCATGCACAGCTATCCTCCTCTGCCTCAGCACACTGGCGTGCGAGGAGAAGGGTACAAGGATGAGGAGGAGGATGAGGGTGAGGCAGAGGAGGCAAGAGGATTGCTGCGAGGTCAAGATGTGGACGTGGAGCGACAGTCGGGCGCCGCACATCGATCCGCTTTAGCTGCAGCGACGGAAAAGGTGAGCGGGCGTGTGACTCGTAAGCGCCCTGCCTCCCCTCTCGCCCACATGCTGACCAACACGTTTGCCTCCCCTCCCCTTCTTTTGTTGCAGATACCTGCCATATCGGGCGCACAGACGACTCGACGCAAGGGTCTGATGCTCATTTGCTTGGTCTTGGTCGCCTTGCTAGCTGCCATTCCCATCCTCACATGGCTCTCCAGCGGCTCCTTGAGTCGCGTCGTCGTGCTCATCAAGCCAGACGAAGCATGGACGCTGCCATTGTACGCACATCCCAACTCCGCCCATTTCAAGCTGGCCAAATTCAGCGCTTCGAGCAACGATGCAGCTGGATCATTTGGACTGGCGAATGCGGATCATTTCAACTTTGACTATGCGGTGCCTGGATGGAAGGACGCAGAAGCTGCAGCTAGACTCAACGTTGTTAGCCTACCTGCCGGAGAGACGGGCAAGAAGCTTCCTAGCATGGAAGAGCTTTTCAACGGCACCTTTTCCCACGAGCTTGGCGATCTCAAATGGTCCAAGGAGGGTGAGTGGACTCGAGCAGGCGTGTATGCGCTTCGCTTCGCTCCGCTCACACAAGGTCCCCTCCCCCCCCCCGGCAGATCCCGATGTGGGCGTGTTTACGCACGTCGATCCTGCGACGCACGACATTATCGTGCAAGATGTCACGCATCTGCGCAAAGAAAAGACGGGGAAAGGCGAGGTGGCCAAGGGAGGCGGCAAGGTGACCTACGTCAAGGGCGATGATGTGCTCGATGTGAGTGGCCGCGCGGTCGTGTGAGAAAAGGCATTTTGACGCGTTTGCCCTGCATGCCATGCACAGAATCACGGCATGAAATTGAAGTGGAGCGACTTTTTAATCAGCCCGGACATGATGTTTGTGCTCTTCATCACCGACAGGTCCCATCAGTGGCGCTATTCAACTCGTTTCAATCTCTGGCTGTATGACCTCACCACCAAAAAGACTGTGCCAATAGGTGGTGGCCCTCACTATCCGGCCAAGACATCAGCTGCATCTTGGGCTCCCAAAGGCAACTTTCTTGCATATGTGCAGGACAATGACTTGTACACCCACGAGCCTGGAGGCCAGCCGCACAGGATCACCCAGGACGGCACAAAGGACATTTTCAACGCCGTTCCCGATTGGGTGTACGAGGAGGAGGTGTTCAACAGCGAATCAGTCTATTGGTGTGAGTGATTGGTCGCTTCGAACATGGCTCCCGAATGCAGCTCAAAACTTGCTCGACCTGCTCGATCAGGGTCCCCGTCGGGCACGAAGCTGGCATATTTGCGTCTCGACGAGACTGCGGTATCTGTCTACTCGTTTCCGATCTACAATCCAGACAAGTGGACCACAGGTCTCACAACGCCATACCTCACCAGCACCTCGATGAAGTATCCCAAACCCGGATTCCCAAATCCCACCGTCAGTGCCCACGTCGTCGACGTCGCCGCCGTGCAAAAAGGAGCATCTGCTGTAGACGCCATCTCTGAGTTGCTCAGCCCCAAAGTGGGCCAGGGCGGACAAGCAAATGCCAACGATACAAAGGTGGATGAAGATTTGCAAAAGGAGCGGCTCATTACCGAAGTCACCTGGACCGGTGCGGACGAGGTTCTGCTGCGCGAGACGAATCGCGTTAGTGATCGAGCTCGCTTGCTGAGGTTTGTGCTCAACAGCGAGGCGATCCTCGGAAAGTCCGTCACTGGAACTGTCGTCAGGCGCGACAATGGTCGCACGAAGCTGCATTTGGGAGGAGGCTGGATCACAGCTGTGAGTCGTGATCGCGAACACCACGTGCGGCTTCTGAGGAGCGTCAAGGTACGCTACTCACCCTTTTTTTTCTTTTCTTTTTTCTCGCCGCACTCCAGTTCCAGGAGAAGCAGCCGCTGGGAGCGATGGACCTCGCGCTTCAAAGCACGGCATACTTGGACATTCTTCCTACCAAGGGAGGCTTTAGACACCTCGCATTCTTTGCCAATTCTAGTGTGGAGCAGCCCCTTTTCATCACCCAGGGAGAGTGGGAGGTGGATCAGCTGCTACATGCAGATCTCAAGCGGCAGCGCGCGTGAGTGGTCGCACTTGGCAGAGCGATGTAGTTGCATTCGAAAAGACCTCGCTTACGATGCGCACCCGCAGATACTTTTTGGCTGCGAGTCCCACACCTTCTCAGCGGCATGTGTACCTGGTCGGCTTGCCAGATATCACTTCACAGCAGACGCTCAGCCGGTACAGGATTCGCCCGCCTATTCCCTTGACAGACATCCACAAGCCGGGATGGCATTCTGCCTCCTTCGACCCCAAGGGAGCGTACTACATTCTCACCAAGCAAGGTCCCGATGTGCCATCCGTCCGAGTGCTTGGTCTCGACGATCCCAAGTTCGAGCTGGTGCTGCAGGACAATGCGGACCTGCGGAAAACGTTGACCAGGTACGTGGCGCCTTCGAACGTCTTTTACACAATCCAGGTGGGAGACAAGAAGGACGTCATTGTCAGCGTGCGCGAAATACGTCCGCACGATTTCGATGCCAGCGGACAGACGCGCTATCCCGTCTTGGTCAACGTGTATGGCGGACCAAACTCGCAGACGGTCAAGTCCGAATTCGATCTTGCCGGTTGGCATACCTATCTGGCGACGTCGCTCGGCTACGTCGTCATCAACATCGACGGCAGGGGCACGGGCTTCCGAGGCAGGCACTATCGCTGTCGCGTCACAAATCGTCTTGGCGTGTACGAAACGGACGATGTGGTGGACGCGATGCGAGAGATTAGAAAGTTGCCCTACGTCGATGAGAGCAGGACAGGAATCTGGGGCTGGAGCTATGGAGGCTATTTGACCAGCAAAGTTATTCAAGCCGACTCGGGCATGTTCGGTCTCGGCATGGCTGTAGCGCCGGTCAGCAAGTGGGAATTTTGTGAGTCGCAGGCAGCCCGCGCAATGTGCGCAAGATTGTTTTTTTTTTTTGCTGAGCCAGCTGTGTTTAGACGACTCTATTTATACGGAGCGGTACATGAAGATGCCCTCGCAAAATCGTGCAGGCTATGCAAACTCCTCCGTGATGATCTCGGACGGCTTCCGCCATGCTCGATACTTGCTGGCGCAAGGCTCAGGCGACGATAATGTCCATTTCGAGGTGCGCTGCGGTGTTTTGCTCTTTATTGCCATGCCATGCGCGTGCTCACAGTCTGCTCGCGTCTTGCACCCTGCACAGAGCTCGGCTCACCTTCTCGATATCCTCACCAAAGCGCAGATCCGAAACTTTCAGTTTCGCATGTTTACGGACTCGGCGCACTCGATCAGTGTGCGCGGCGCGTACCGAGAGCTGCACGAGTTCCTCATCCGCTTCTTGGTCTCGAATTGGGGGCCAGGCGGACTGCGAAAGTTTGATAGTCACGCAACGCGCAACGACTACAACAGACGATCTATCGAGGCGCGCGTGAGCATGAGCGACGAGGAACGTCAAAAGAGGGACATGGAGTGGGTGCGACGGGAAGCTGCTCGTGCGAAGGAGAAAAGACGAGCAGCGGGCGCTGGAGATTTGTGAGCGGGGACATGCGTCACGTATTTAAGCCTGTCTGTGCGATAGACGTCACGATGACGATGTAATTGTGTGTGTGCGCGCGTGTGTGTGCGCGTGTGTGCGTGTGTGCGGGGGAGCTTTACCAAGGTGACCTGCCTGGTTTCTTGAATGTGCGATCTGTATCGCCGTGAGCGTGAGCGCGACCTTGGCTGTGCTTGCGCTTCTTGGCGGTGGCACCATCGCTGTGCCTTTGTGCGCCACCCGATGCACGGCCAGCTGTTCTTTTGATCTCATCGATGATCGCCAGCCCTTCCACCTCTTTCTCGTCCAGCGATTCTTCATCGAGCGATACTTTGTCGAGCCCCCCCTGCGGTGCTCGCCCCCCCTTTGCGCTCTTGCGATCCACGCGAGCATCGGCCGAGCGTGCTGGACGTCTCGATTTGCCATACGCACGGGCACCTTTCTTGTCGTCGTCGCCGTCGTCGTCGTCGCTCTCCGCATCGCTCTCGCTTCCCTTGCGACTCTTTTGACGTTTCTTTTGCGCCCACGCACCAAAAGATCGGCGGGTGGACTGACTCGGGGCGGATGCATGGACGTCGAGGTCTACAGGATCATGCTCCGTCTTCAAGCCAGCACCGGCACTGGCAAGCCAGGAGGACCAAGCTGGTTCGTGCTCCACCTTGACTGCGGAAGATGTAGGCCTGTCTGAAGCAGATCGAGCAGATGGCATGCACCACTCTTCGTCCGATTGCGATGCATCCTTGCCTTGGCGTGCTTGCGTCGCAATCAAGGTCACAGGCTGTGGCGCGGACGCGGGCGCGGCCGCGGGCGTTTGGGCGCTCGTTGACGCTCTCGCGAAAGATTGCGGGGACGCTGATGCTCTAGAAGTGCGAGGGATGGAGCTGCTTGTGCTGGCCAAGACACTTTGGTCGGGAGCTCGCTGCTGCTGCTGCTGCTGCTGTTGAGCATTGGCACGCTGCATGAACTTGAGTCCCTGCAATCGGCCACTCAAGCCGACCACGGTGGATGAGCGCCCATTGGACATGATGGCGAGCAGACCGCTGATTGATTGCCCTTCACGTCCTTTGCATTCCAGCCGAGTGAGCCAATCTGGCTGACTGATCTGTCGATGGCGAAGATGATGCTCGTGTGAGTGGTGGAGGCAGGCAGGCAGGCTTGATCTTGGCAGCATCGCGCGCCCGCGCGCACGCACGCAGCTACACTCTTCCGCGCGTGTCGCACGAGAGAGTCTCAATGAATAAGCCGCGGCGCGGCGCGGCGAATCGCGAATCGCGCACAACGAGTCGCACGCACGCGAGGAGAATATATAAGGCCGGCAACATCATCACCACACCGCACTGCACCCTTTTACAAAATGCGAATGGATTAACTTTTCCGGAGCTTTTACAGAGGGACTGTCCGGGGATAAGCGCGCGCGCGCGCGCGCGCGCGCGTGCCCGCCAAGGCTGATCAAGCTTCCTCGATCATGCCCGCGGCCACCTGCTTGTACACCTTGCCGCTCTTGGTGACGCGCTCATCGCGACGATTGCGCCGTCTGCAGTACCTCTGCATGGCCTTGATAGCAGAGGTGAGGGGCTGCTTGCCGTACGCGTCAAACGCAAAGCACGCTGCAGTGTTGACCAAGACGACGGCGAGCAGGGCAAAGTGGAAGCTTCGAGGGAATTCCACAAGTCCCAGGAGCTCAAAGATGAATCCAGAGGGGACAAAGAGAAAGTACAAGCTGCAAAATGAGAGAATGATGAGCGCCGCCACCAGCATTGGGTTGGTGTACAAGGGCTTGCGGTAAGGTGGTCCGACACTAAAGATGGCGCAGACGATGATGTACTGAAAGGACGAGACCAAGAAGAGGGCAGAGTTTTCCGGGTTCACCACGTCCAGCTTGTCCGGATTCACAATGGGCGGCGTGTACCAGGGCTGGGCGCGAGTGTAGAAGAAGGTGAAGAATTGCGCAGAAGCGCAGATCACAACCTGTCCAAGCATGCTGATCAGCACCTTTTTGGACACTAGATTCGCCGTGGGTCGCTTGGGATGAATCGTGTCGAAAGGTAGACCACGAGCCATGGCCACCGCCAGCGGAATGATGAGGCCGAGATCGATGTAGAGGAATTGAAAGTCGCCGAGGGAAGATGCAAAGCCGTAGAGCAATGTGATGGTGGTGAATTGGATCAGGCTGTACAGCGCCATGAAGCTGAAACACCCAAAGCTGCAAGTGATGGCAGCGCGGCCTTCTTTGATGACGTCGATGACGCACGAAATATCTGGCGAGCTGGAAGTGAATGGAGCGGCGACCGACGCTTCGGCTTCGCTCAAAGAGATGCCCACATCTGCGGCTTTCAGGGCACCGCAGTCATTTGCACCGTCTCCGCACATACCAGTGGTGTAGCCCAGCGCTTGCAATCGCTCGATCAGCTCGTGCTTTTCGTCCGGCGACATTCTCGCGAAAATGGTGCCCTTGATGAGCATGCGGCGAAGCGTCTCGATTGGCGCATAGTCGATCATCCAGCGGAAAATGTCACCCGTTACAGCGAGCTGATAATCTTGAAAGTCCAGCTCGTCCAGGTGCGGATCGTCGCGCAACGGCTTGAGGCGAAAGGCATCCAATTTGACCCGCTCGTCGTCGACGCTCGACCAGTCGATGACTGCGTCTGGCGACTTTTGATCACCGTGCACAAACGTTGGCAAAAAGACGTGGGCCGATTGGTCGACCATGCCACACTCGCGCGCGACGCTAATGGCAGTGCGTGGATTGTCTCCAGTGGCCATCTTGCACACAATGTTGGCGTTCATCAGCTCTTGAATGGCCGGCGCGGTCCCTTCCTTGATCTTGTTCTCAAAGATGATCAATCCCAAAAATCGCAGCTTGCTCTCTGCCTGCTCTCGCTTCATTCGCTGCGCCTTGATCCAGCTCATGTTCGGCATCGTCTTGCCTGCGCAAGCAATCACACGATATCCGTGCTTGGTGTAATACGCCAGCAGGTCATCGTAGTCGGCAGGGAAAGAATCGCGTTCGCAAATCTCCGTCATGACTTCGGGCGCTCCCTTGACGTAGACTTCCATGGAGGGGGATTTGAGGCGCTTGACGATGACGCTCATTCGACGGAGCTGGGACACGAACTCAAACGTGCGCAGCACGCCCACTGCGGTGGAGGATCTCTGTCAGGCCCGAGTAGCGTCGTCAAAACGCGCGCGCCCCCCCTCGACGCCACTCACATTCGAGAAAATGTGCATGCTTGCCTGGCTTGACGGCATCTTCGACTTCAAAGTGTTGACCACCGGGTGGGCGAACGACTGTTTGTACCAGCGCAGGTGCTCGATCGGTCAGTCGACTCTTGCCATCCTTTGCCGTTCCGCTCTTTGTGGTCGCTTGTGCAGCGTCCTTGCCCTCATCCAGAGTCCAGCCAGTATACTCGAACATCTTGACATCCAAAGGATCGCCAATGACCTCCCCATCGACGACCTTGAGACTATGACATGTAGCCAGAGCGTACAGAAGGGGCATCTTGCGGGCTTCCACATCGCTCGGAGTGTTGCTGCCATTGACAGGCATCTCTTCGACGGTCTCGTGGAGCTCGCTGAAGCGTTTGGCGCGCAGGTCGATCGTACGAGTGCCCAAGACGTCGAGGCCGTCTGCGTGGGCGTGGGGGGCACGTGCGTGGGCGTGATCAGAAGCGCTGAGCACAAGGCGCGGCGGGACTTTAAATCGGCACAGGGTTCGGACTCGCGCCGACTCACCTGCAGTCAAGGTACCAGTCTTGTCAAAGCATACGACATTGATCTTGCCTCCAATGTTGACGCGATTGGGAGAGATGCAAAAGATGCCTCCTTTGCGCAGACGAGCGATGGCAAAGGTGGTGCCGATGCTCATGGTCGCGGGAAGAGCAGGAGGAACAACGACGGTGATCAGGTCGAGGGCACGCAGAATGATGGTGTGAATGCCAATGCCGAGCTTGATAAAGTTGATGGAGCTGGCAAGGAAGCCGACGCCGGCAATACCTGCAAGGAATCCAATAAATCTAAAAGAGTCGCGGTAAAATTTGAATCCCATGGGCTTGGGGAACAGCATACTGCGAACGAGTGCGCCCTTGGTCGTGTCGAAGCCAGTGCGCACAACCATTGCTTTTGCCCCTGCATCCTCCCCGCCCATAGTAGGCCGAATTCGGATGATTCTCGTTCCCGCAAAGAGGAAATGGCGCGCCAAGTCAGGCGAGATTTCTCCTGAAGGCGAGTGTAGGCCGACCATGCCCGAATCCGCAAGAGGCACTTTGCTGACGGGCACCGACTCTCCCGTGAGCATGCTCTCATTGACGATCGCATCACCGCTGAGCAGCACGCTGTCAGCAGGGAACAGCAGCAAGCTCGACTCTGCCACGTCGTACACGTCTCCCGGCACGAGTTCCGAGCTGTCACGAACGGCCCAGGTGCCCTCTCGCAGCACCCTGACGGGGCATGTGAATCGACTCATGGCGCGCATGCGCGCAATGGTGCGCTTGGTCTCGAGCAAGGTCGTGATGATGGATGCAGCGCTGATGAGAGCGATGCAAGCGGCGTAGTAGTAGTAATCGTCGATGCTCCACAAGACGATCGATACGATTTGAAACATGTAAAAAGGGTGCAAAACTTCATCGACGAGCAATTGCCACGTCGTCTTGCCCGCAATGTCGATCACATTCTCGCCAAACAACATTGTGCGATCCTTTTCGGCGTCCCAGCTGATGCCCTTGGCGGCTGAAGCGGTGGATGTCCACGTTGGATCGCGCCAATCTTTGATCATGCGCCAGCGGCCCGAAGGCGGATGGAGAGCGAAGCGCGTGTAGCGATAGTCTAAAAAGGTCAGCTCCATGAGCTGCTCCGTCTGCACGCCTGCGAGCATGGGTAGCGAAGAGGCTGGCGTGCGCGTCTGCGCGGGCGGCGCGATTTTGGACGCTTCGGCGATGCTGCTACGCGCAGACGCCGACTTGCCGTTGAGCACTAGACCAGGCGGCAGGGCGATGGGAGGAGCAGACTGATGCTCTGCAGGCGTGCTAGGCGGCTCTCTAGACGAGACGGGAAAGACGGTGGCGAGGGGGCGAGCAAAGGGCACCGTATCGGGCTTGACCTTGACCATGTCTCCCCATTGATTCTCGACGATGATGAAATCGGCAGAATCAAAGTCGGCAAGTGTGCATACCCAGCGAAGGCGCCAGCGTGGCAGCCATCGGCCTAGCAAGTAGACGATGCCGAGGGTGAGGATGCAGGCGAGAGTGTAAGTGAGCTGCTTTGTGGGCACGGAGCGGTAGCCAGTGAATCGAATCAAGGTGTCGTCTTCGGCCAGATAGATTTGCTGCTTCGACCTGCTGTCCTTGTCCAGGTAAGACATGCTCTCCTTGACTCGCGCAGCTTCTTGAGCAGCCGCTGTTGGCGCAGCTGCAGCTGCCTCCATGTCGGGAACAAAGCCAGAACGACCACGCGCAAAGCCGCTCGAGTCGCCAGCTGCAGCTTCATTGGTAGCGCTCGCACCCAGCTCTTCGTCCAGCTCGTCGCGAGGCTGGTGATCCAACGTGACTCGATTATCTCCAAAGACCGGGTCGACCTGACCGCCCACCATGCCAAAGGCGGAAGGCAGCAAGCCGCCTCTTCCGCGATCGCCATCTTCATCAGAGGTGCTGCTGTGCAGGCTATCTGCATCGCTTGTATAGTCCTCCTCTTGGTCATCGTCCGCATCCTCGTCATCATCCGTGCCGTATTCTTCCTCGCTCCATCCCCCACCTCCGCGGTCGGAGGAGGAGGGACGGGATGAGCGGCTGACGACGGACGAAGAGCTCCTGCGACGACTCATTAGGGGTCGCTGTGAGCCCGAAGCGTCTTGCTCCTCTGATGCTTGCTGTCCGCCTCGAAGCGAAGCCATGAAGCTGCCGAGCACGCCGCGGGGACGTTCTTCGCTCGCATCCACAGCATCCTCGGCTTCCCTGCGAGATGCGACGCGCCTCTTGCGACCGAAACTCGAGCGGGCAGCGATACTTTGAACGCTTTCCGCCGCGGCACTCCTTGTGTCGTCAGCCTCTGCATCAATCAAATCACCGCTGCGAATGGAAGAGGTGCTGATCTTGCGGGAGCGGGTGGGCGAGTTGGAGTACTCGCGGGAGATGCGCTGCCTTGATCTGTTGGAAGCGCGGCGAGATAGCTCAGGGCGGGACAAATGATGGTGCATGCTGTGGGGGGGGTAATGCCGAGTCAGCGCGGGGGGTTGAAAGTGCGCGCGGGGCGCGATGCAATCCCATCGTGAATCGCGAATCGCGAATGTATGCCATCGTGCATCGTGAATGTATGCGCTGCCGCCCGCACTCACCTGCTCACGCTGCTTGGCACGGCACCAGCTGTGGGACCGTCAAAGATGCTGGAACTGAGAGCGCCATCGTCGGCATAGCTGCCCACTTGGCTGTCCCTTCTGCGCCTCCCACCGATGCTGATGCCCATCTCTGCGGCCGTGCCTGTGCCGTTGGCCTCTGCATCGCCATCGCCATTGTGCTCGCGAGCCCAAGCAAGAGCCTCTGCTCTTTCTGCATCGTCAAAGAATGGCGATGACGGCTGCGTTGATGGTTCTGTGGGAGGATCGGAAGCGGGAGGACGTGGAGGTAGAGAAAAGGGAGATTGGTACTCGTCTGCTGCCACGTCAAATGGCTGCTTGCGGTTGCCCTTGCCCTTGCCCTTGCCGTCGCCGTCGCCGTCGCCGTCGCCGTCGCCATTGACCTTCTTGGAAGTCATCTTGAGCGAGCACGATGTGAAGAGCGGTATGTATGCGCCGCGCACTCGCTCACTGCAACCGGATGCTGTGATGATGGAGGCGAGCAGGTATGACGGCGAGGCAGATGAATGCACACCAGCGGCGCGGTTCCGAGATCCACGCGCGCAACGAGATGAGATGTGCAGCACGCACGCACGCACGCGCGAGCGTGAAGGTTGCATCGATCGAAGCGAGAAATCACGAATATGAAAGGCGCAGGCAGGCAGGCGGGCAGGGTCTTCTTCGACGTGTGCCTTGAGCGTGGCGTGAGCCACGTGGCGCGCGTCACCCATACGATGAGATCGAGAATACGCATGCGGGGGGGGGGGGGGGGGGG